TTGAATTTATTTTCAAACTCTCCCCTCATACCCCTTCACTTAGATAAAATTTAGCCTTATATATGGTTAAACTTTTAACCTTGGTAAAACTTTAACATGATAATAAACATGGTTAAAGTTAAAAGAAAGTTTACCCAGATAAAATTTAACCCTCTTTATTCTTGTACCAAACAAGCTCCAAGTGTCACTAGTAAAAATTCCATCAATACACATCCCTATGAAATGAGGTGAGTATATATAGTTCACGAACAGTTAGAATATGAGTTTGGTAATTGTGGGTATTGTATCCATATCTAGGCATGTCCAAAAAGCCCGTCGGCTAGGGCGCAGCCCGGGTCCCGGCCCGTGGTTGGCTCGGAAACCCTGGCCAGGCTGAGTTCCTGACCCTTGTAGGGCCGGTAGGTGTCGGCACCCAGCCCGGAACAGGGCTGGCCGGGGCCAACAAATCCGGGTCGGGCAGTCCGGATCTGTGTCGCCCGGCCCGGCCACAACGGTCATCGAATACAGGCAAAAGCGCCGCAGCCGGCGGCCGGTCCGTCCCGGCCCGGCCCGGCCATAACGGCCAGATTTGATTTTTGACCGTTTTGTCCCCAAAAACGGTCAAAAAACGGTCATATTGTGAGGGTTTTTTTGTTATTTGCTTAGGAGGTTGCCTCTATAAATATAGGGGGTTTTCACTTCTTCTCCTCAAACCAAAACTCATCTACTTCTCTCTAATACCCTCTTATACAATCTTATACTCTCTAATAATCTCTTATACTTTCTAATCCTTCCATCAAATGACTTCCGAATCTAATTATGAAGAGCAAAACCTATCTCCTACCGATCTTGAAATGAGTCCTCCTACAACAGCTACTCCTACCGGTGTTAATCCCGAATCCGGTAGTGATGATTCTACACCAAGAGCTCCTAAAAGGCCGAGATCCGATGTGCGGAATATTTTTGAGAAGATAGACATCACCAAGGATGAACACGGTAGGATCATCACCCAAAAGGCTAAATGTGCATTGTGCGACAAGACTTTCCAAGCTCATCATAAGAGCGGCACCAACCACCTCAAACATCATATAGAAAAACACAAAAAAAGCCAGAATCCTCCAGGTGATATCCGATAATCTATGATTTCCCAATCCTCCTTTTTTGGTAGTCTCGATAGTTGGAATTATGATATTGCCCGAGCCAGAAAATGCGTCATCAGGTTTATCATTCTTAAAACATTCCTTTTAAATTAGTAGAAGATGATATGTTTAGAGGTTGTTTTTATTCCGTATTTACAAAATTTTCTTGTCAAACCTGTCAATGTGATATTTTAAAATATTATCAGGAGGAACAAGGAAAAATTTACAAAATTTTCTTGTCAAACCTGTCAATGTGATATTTTAAAATATTATCAGGAGGAACAAGGAAAAATAATTTCTTATTTTAAAATGTGATATTTTAAAATATTATCAGGAGGAACAAGGAAAAATAATTTCTTATTTTAAAATTTTAAACTATAGATTTTCTTTAAGTTCTGATATTTGGACATCTAGAGCACAAACTTGTTATTTATGTATCACAGCACACTAGATTAATAAAAATTGGAAAATGTTTAAAAGACTTGTTTCCTTTATTGCAATTGAAGAGTCACATACTGGTATTAATGTTGTAAATTTAATAATTAAAGAACTTATGAAACTAGAAATTAATTAAAGAATATTTTCTCTTTCACTAGATTATGCAAGTAATAACAATCTAGTTGTTGATTTTATCAAAACAACCCTGTCATTGTCATATCATCGTGTTCTTTTTCATATTAGATGTATCTATCATATTTTAAATTTAATTGTTCAAAGTGCATTTACTGATGTTAAACCCATGATAGAAAAGGTTAGAACAGTTGCTTATATGCATAATGCTTCTAAACAAAAACTTAAAAGATGAAAATATTTTTGTAAAAGAAAAAATTATAAGCCCAGATTAATTCCAAAATATGTTGACCATAGGTAAAATTTCACCTATGCAATGTTAAGTGTGGCAATAGAATATAAAAAAATTATAAATAATTTTATAAATTATCATGCTTCTAGTTCTAGCTCTGGTAGCACTTATAGAATAACTAAAGATGAATGGACAATTATATGTAATTTAAATGAGATGTTACAAGTTTTTTTATGATGCTATAATGTTATTATCTGGTCGTTATTATCCAACTATTACTTTAGCTGCTTTACAAATTTTAAATATTCAAAAAAAAATTACCAAATATCGTATGAATGATACTTTTGGAGCTATAATTTTTTAAATGGAGAGCAAATTTAATAAGTAATGATACTTTTGGAGCTATAATTTTTTAAATGGAGAGCAAATTTAATAAGTATTTTAGGCATATTCCTCATATTTTTGGTTATAATTTTTTAAATGGAGAGCAAATTTAATAAGTATTTTAGGCATATTCCTCATATTTTTGGTTTGGGGGATCTTATTGATCCATGTTTGAAGGATATTGACCTTCGAAGTTTGTTACAATCATTGTATGATGGACAGATTATAGACTTACATAATGGATCCATCCTTTTTTTTTTTTTGAAATAAATTTTATTCATTACCAAATTGAGAAATATGAGTACATCAAGAAATACTAGTTCCTAACCTG